GGCCGGAGGAAGCCCCCGGGGCCGGCAGAGGTTTGTTCAGCGGAGGGCAAGGGAACTGAGATTAAAAAAAGCCCCGCTAAGATCAGAAAGGCTGGCGCGCACAGTGCCCTATTGTGGAGCTGTCACACTTCCCTTTACTTTATTGCTTTTGTCCAACACCCCATTGTTCCACTTCCTTTTGTCCCCTATTCACAGCCCTGGCTTTTCATTACCCAGCCGGCCTTGTTGTTTTCATTTCTTTTGTTTGAAGTTCCTGAGAGGAAGGTTTTATTTTCAGCGGTTTGATTAATTCGCAGCTTGAGCTGGGCTTTGTTTGTTATGTAATTGCTGCCCTGAGCCCGGCTCAGCCCCCCTCCATCCCACTTTGCACCCCCAAACTGGGTTCAGGGTCTCCTGATCATCCAGGGGGCTGTGGGGAGGCGAGAGGGTCCTGGTTTTAGGGTGCCAGCCCCCAGGCAGAATGCCATCCCCATCCCACCTCGGCAGCCCCTGTGGTCCCACAGCCCAGCTCCTGGCAGTGCCCGATGTAAATCCCTTCCTTAACAGCCTCCTTTTCCCATTATTCCTGCCTGAAAGGCGAGCTTTGGGAGGGTAGTGCTTGTTCCCATTCTTGCTGTGTGGTGTGAGGGCTGGTGGCCCCGAGAAGGCGAATTCACGTGGGCGCTGCCCCGTGCTCAGGGCTGGTCCCGGCGTGCCTGGCACTCGCTCTTGGATACCACCCCGACAGCCCCGGAGGGTCCAGAGAGCTGGGGCTTTGCAAGGAACTGTGGCACGTTTTTTGGGCCAGACCCCACTGAATACCAGCTCTGGCCGTGCTTGGGGTCCCCTGGGGTGTCACATCACCCCCCATAACACCCCTCCATCACCTCGGCAGCGCCCATCGGGCAGCACCGGGAGTTGGATTGGCACCCATGGCCGTGCTGGGGAGGTCAGGGGGAGCAGTCCCAGGCCCAGCCCCTTGCCCTGGTCGGGGCTCAGCCGGTCCCAGCTCCGTGCTGTGCCGGGGACTCCCGGAGGAGCAGCTCTGGTGGCCGTCCCAGCCATTGTTCAGCAGGACCAGGATTTCCATTTCCCGTCGGAGTGGGAAACCTGCCTGCTGTCCCACTGGCTTTCTAGGCATGGCTCCTGGTTCAGGGAGGGGGAACCCGGGCACCCCTGGGGTGCTGGAGCGGGTCTGGCACAGGTCTCTGCCATGGTGAGCCTTGGGTTGCCCCATGCCAGCTGCTGAGTGAAGCACGAAGGCACGTGCTCCTGTTATCCCTCAGTCCCGGACCTCCGGGTTCTCCTCTTTAGGGATTTGTTGCTCCACTCCCTTCACAGCCCAAAGTGTGAAGGCTTTGGTTTTATCCCTGGGTTTTGGGCCCCAAATCTGCAAAAACCTGAGCTTGGGAAGCTTCAGGAACAAGAGCTCAGCTGTGGGTGGCAAAAAGCAGGACCGCTGTGGGTGGAAAAGCAGCACTGTGGGGCACCCTAGCGTGGGGCCAGGCTGGGAAAGGGGTGTCCATGTCCAGGGGTGCCCCTGGCTCTGCTGATGGCCCTGCAAAAACCTGAGCTTGGGAAGCTTCAGGGGCAAGAGCTCAGCTGTGGGTGGCAAAAAGCAGGACCGCTGTGGGTGGAAAAGCAGCACTGTGGGGCACCCCAGCGTGGGGCCAGGCTGGGAAAGGGGTGTCCATGTCCAGGGGTGCCCCTGGCTCTGCTGATGGCCCTGTCACCCCGCAGGATGTCCATGAGGAGCCCTGTTTCCCCCCACCTGGAGCTGGATGGAGCGGGCAGCATGGTGAACTGCACCATCAAGACGGAGGAGAAGAAGGAGGGTGGTTACGAGTCCCCTCCAGGGGCTGCCCCCAGCACTGAGCCCCGTCCCAACGACCCCCCAGGGCCACCACCAAGGGACAGCACTGACCCCCAAGCCCTGCCACAGGTGGGTCCCATGGCTGTGACAAACAGGGTCCTGGCTGGGGTCCCGCAGGGCTGGCAGAGCCCCGTGGGCATCTCTGCTCTGGAGGTGGGCTCCATCCCCTGGCAGAGGGGGGGAGCTGTTTCCCTGGGCAGTTATTCCTCACCCTGAGGAATCCAAGCTGAAACCTGAAGCTCCCCCAAAGCTTTTCTGGCTGCTACTGATGCTCGTGGGTCAGTGCTGGGGTTTGAGCATTTCACCTTTAACGTGGAACACCCCCCCCACCTCCACCTTCATCCCTTCAGCCTCCCTTTTGCATTGCTCTTGGGTTTTCCCTGCCCCTGACCAGCAGCCTCAGCTCTCCCACTCCCTGTGGTGCCTTCTGAGGGGAAAAGAGCTCAGAGGAGCTGGACAGGCTGAATAAATTGTAGAAAACTCCAGCAAACAAGTCGTTCGGGTGTGGAGAGCAGCGCTGCTCTCAGCCCGGGCAGGGGGAATGCGCCTGGTAGAGTGTGTTGGAGCCGGGCTGGCTCTGAGCATCCCACCGGCCCAGAACCTCCTGCCTGGACAGCTGGGGGTGCCCCTGCCCGTGGGAGCAGTGCCCAGCCAGCTGTGTGTGCCGCAGGAGTCCCGCTCTCCCGCCGGGGATGTGCCCGAGCCCCGGCGCTCCGCCTTCGAGCCCGCCGGCAGCGGCCAGGACAAGCTGGACTTCAACAGGAACCTGAAGGAGGGTAAGAAAGGTTCATGAGAGGCCTCTTGGGGTCCCCTCCCGGCTCCCTTCAGGCTTCCTGGTATTTTTCCAAAAGTGGAACCACCCCCTGTCGTTCAGAGCCGTGGGCTGTGCTCACCTGGCTGTCCTTCTCCTCTCCCTCTCCCTGCTCCCCCAACCCTGCTCTGCCAACACGGACAGTGATGCCAACCATCGAGAAGTTGCTGTCCAGTGACTGGAAGGAGCGGCTGCTGGGCCGAAACTCCGCCGAGTCCAAGGAAGTGAAAGGTGAGGTCTGTCCCCAGCCACCCACCTGCACCACCTCCCTCCTGCGCCCCGTGCCTGGACTGCAGACACAGCATTTCCCACCTTAGCAGGAGGGGAAATGTCCGTATTTCGTGTGGGTTTGGTCGTTTTTAATTTGATATTTTTGGGGTGAGCATTTCTGGTGGTAACTCGCCTCTGAGTGCACAGAGGGGGTGGTTCAGCACATGATCTTTCTGCCCCTCACTCATTAGACCTTTCCTGGCCACGTCTCCTACCGTGGTGGAATCAGGGGCAGCGGGACTTCTCTGCCTGCCCAGAAACCCCCCTGTTTTCTGTGCCCACCCCAAAGAGTCCCCATCTTTCTCCTCGGTGCTGGCAGGACGAGGGTTGAAAGGAGATGGGAATTGCACCCCTTAATCAAACCACACGGGGCCCTTCTCACCCAACGCTGACACCCTTCGCCCTCTGCAATCCCCAAATCTCAGCCACTTGTTCTTTCCCAGGAACCCAGGAGAGCCTGGCAGAGAAGGAGCTCCAGCTCCTTGTCATGATCAACCAGCTGTCCACGCTGCGGGACCAGCTGCTGACGGCCCACTCGGAGCAGAAGAACATGGCCACGATGCTCTTCGAGAAGCAGCAGCAGCAGATGGAGCTGGCGCGGCAGCAGCAAGAGCAGGTGGGCTCGGGGGACCACCCATCCCTTCAGGGATCCCTTTGGGATCCGCTGGATGTGGGTGCAGGACCAGGACAAGGACCATTAGACACCCCTGGGAATGCTGGGGGGTGGCTTTGGCCTTGGGGCAGTGGGATTTCTGCCTGCCCAGAAACCCTCCTGTTTTCTGTGCCCATCCCAAAGGACAAGGGTCAAAGGAGATGGGAATTGTGCTCCTTAAAATAATTAAACCACACTGGCTCCTTCCTGACTGGGCCCACTGTGCTCCTTGGACACCTATTTTTCTTGTCCCATGGCCTGTGCAGTGCTGAGGGCAGGGGAACACCCCTGTCACACCTCAGGGTGGGGGGACACATCCCTCCCAGCCCACTTCTCTCCCTGTGCCCCTCGAGGTGGCCCAGGGGCAGCTCAGCCCCTCCTCCTGCCCTCCCCACAGCCCTTGTCTCCCTTTTGGTGGTGATGGGTGTCTCGTCCTGGGCTGGAGCCCAGCTCAGCAGTGCCATTGCTGTCACTGACCCCCACTGTCCCCTCCACCAGATCGCCAAGCAGCAGCAGCAGCTCATCCAGCAGCAGCACAAAATCAACCTGCTGCAGCAGCAGATCCAGGTAAAGGCAGGGGACACCTCCCCCCGTCCCCTTCCCCGTGTCCCCCTTCCCGTGCCGGAGGATTGCAGCCTCCTCATGTCCCTGTGTCCCCTCCTGGGTCCCGGCGAGGGGACATCACCCTCCTGCAGTGTCCCACAGCGGTTCTCTGGTCTCTCTGCTCCTCTCCCCTCCAGCAGGTCAACATGCCCTACGTGATGATTCCTGCCTTCACCCCCAGCCACCAGCCCCTCCCCGTCACCCCCGACTCCCAGCTGGCACTGCCCATCCAGCCCATCCCCTGCAAACCAGGTGAGAGGGGTCCCCTGGGGCTGCCCCAGCCCTGTGGGGTGGTTTCGGCCTCGAGCCCACCTCCCTCACCCCCCAACCCTGTCCCTCTGCTCCCCACAGTGGATTACCCGGTGCAGCTGCTGCACAGCCCCCCTCCTCCCACGCTGAAGAGACCCGCCGGCCCGGGCCACCTCCAGATGCAGGTACAGCCCCGAAGCACCTCCATACCCCGGGCTGGGGGGTTTGGGGGCTGTGCTTCACCCCCCACCCCCTCCTCTGCCACAGGAGACCTCGCAGCCGCTGAACCTGACGGCCAAACCCAAAGGTTCCGACCTCCCCAGTGCCTCCAGTTCGCCCAGTTTGAAGATGGGCGGCTGCCAGTCCCTCACGCCGAGCCATGGGGCCACCAGGGACCTGCAGACCAGCCCGTCCAACCTGCCTCTGGGTGGGTTCACCGATGGGTGCTCCTGTGCCCTCCCCTGGTCACCTTTGGGGACAAGTGAATCCCCTGCTCCCAGGGGCACCTCCTCCCCGGGGTGACTGGGTGGCTGCTCCGTGCCACCCCTCGGGGCAGGGCGGTGACAGCCGGGGTGGGATGGGTGCTCTGGGGGCAGTCTGGAGGAGCGGGTGCTGGTGCTGATGGGTGCCCGTGCCGGTGTCCTGCCAGGGTTCCTGGGCGAAGGCGATGCCATCACCAAAGCCATCCACGACGCGCGGCAGCTGCTGCACGGCCACGGCACAGCCATGGAGGGGTCGCTGGGCAACCCCTACCGCAAGGTGAGGGTCACCCGAGGGGTGGCCACCGTCCCCTCTCCAGCCCCGCTGTCACTGGGGTCCATCCATGGGCAGGTTCCCTGGCTGGGAGCTGCTCCCTGACCGCGCTGTCCCGCAGGAGCACGTCGGGATCGATTCCTCCCCGGTGAAGGAGCGGATGGAGGAGCCCCCTGCCCACCGGCTGGACGAGGCGCTGCTGACCTGTGAGATGGACGGTAAGGACGGCCCAGAGCACCGTGGGGACCCCGCACAGGCTCCTTCCTCTGAGCCCCGACCTCATCCGGGGTCTCCCTCGCAGGCTCCCGGCACTTCCCCGAGTCCAGGAACAACAACCACATCAAGCGGCCCATGAACGCCTTCATGGTGTGGGCGAAGGACGAGAGGAGGAAGATCCTGCAGGCCTTCCCCGACATGCACAACTCCAGCATCAGCAAGATCCTGGGTGAGTGCTGGGGGGCTGGGGCAGGACCCCCCCTGCATCCCCACGGGGGGATGGACACAAGATTTAGATGATTGGGAGTTGTTCCCTGGACATCTCCAGCCCAACAGGACTCCTAAGTCCCATCAGGATGCTCAAGGCTGTGCCCTGTTGACACTTGAGCATCTCCAAGGATGATGTGGCTCTCGCAGCTCCTCCAGCTCCCTCCCAAGCTGGTCCAGCTCCAGCCTCCCAGGTGCTGAGCCGAGGGGATCAATCCCTGGGGAAGGTCAGGGTTGTTGAACACTGTTCCAGTGTTCCTGGAGGGCTGACTGTGGCCCGAGGCTCCCACGGGCTGTAAATCCAGGTGCTGTTTGCACACAGGGAGTGGTACCAATGACTGGCATTAATTAATTAGTGCTGTGGCGGG